AAGACTCCTGAAAGGATTATTTAGTATACAGGGTTTTTGATTCCTGACACATTATCCTTTGTGTTCCTGTGGGCTAAGTAGTTGAGGAATTAACATATTTTGTATGGATTAATACTTTCATTTAATATCTCTGTGGAGTTGGTTTTACCGCATTGTGTGATGTTTTGTGCATGCTGATTTGAAGAGGCAGGAAAGAGAATGCTTACTTATTGACATTTTGGTTTTGGTAAATAAAGTGACCTTTAGCTTTCAGTCACACACTTGAATTTAAGTAAAGATAAATGAAAATCTGGAAACCCTGGCTAAAAATCAAGTCTATTTAGAACGAGATATGTGTTGTGCTCAGAGGAAAATACTTATTACTGCTTCCGTCAGGGCTGTTTTCCTCTAAAATATCCAGATATTCATGAAGGACGGATTAGACAAATAAATCCAAATCAGTCTTATTTTTCTTTACAAAGGCATTGATAATATGATTTTCTTAAAAGACTAAGATGTAGGCTGGCGTTGTGGCTTACACTTGTAATCCCAGCACTTTGAGAAGCCGAGGTGGGTGGATCACCTGAGGTCAGGAAGTTCAAGACCCTCCTGGCCAACATGGCGAAACATTGTCTCTACTTAAAATACAAAAATTAGCTGAGTGTGGTGGTGGGCACCTGTAATCCCAGCTACTTAGGAGGCTGAGGCAGGAGAATCACTTGAACCCAAGAGGCAGAGGTTGCAGTGAGCCGAGATCGTGCCATTGCACTCCAGCCTGGGCGACAAGAGCAAAACTCTGTCTCAAAAACAAAAAGACTAAGAAGTAAATTATCATAGCCCCTGGCACCCCACCTTCATGCATTTCTTCCAGAAAGATTTATTTAGTGTATATTATGGTACAGGTACTGTACTAACTGATGGAGCTATGTAGGAGAATTGAAAACAGGATAAGAATCTATGCTTTTAAAGAAAGAAGGGTTCTGTATATCCTTTTCTCATCTATATTTTGAGTGCACACCCACTGTGCAGATAGAAGTAAATGCACAGACACAGATTCAGTCTTTGTGTATATAAACATGAACTGGACTTTTTTTTGCTGTCAGAGAAGTTTTGGGAATGAGCCAAGTACAAATTATTTTACAGCAAGCCAGTGAACTGTCAAAATGAATTCAAATGTCTATCTCTCCTTACCTCAACCTACGTTACACACATATGCCTATTTTGGTTTACCTTCTGATCAGTCTCTTCCCACTGCTTTACTTCCTATCGGCAGTTCCAGTCCCTCTCCAGGAATGTCTGGACCACCATCCTCCTTTAACCGGATGCAGCCATAATGATACTGACCTCAGCAGAGAGGTGATACATGAAGGTCACACATTCCTATACCTCAGTCTCATAATAGTACGTCACTAATATATGACTGATGTGTGTGGATAGCAGAAAGACCATAACAGACACATAAAGAGAGAAAGAGCTGTGGCTAGACCTAGCACTACTTTTTAATACAATTTTCTGCTATATTATGAAGGCAAGACTGATATGTGGGGGTAGCTGAAAGAAAAAAAAAAAACACAGAAAGAAAGATAGAGAGTTGGCACTCCTATAGTCCATTATATTGCAAATTCTCCCACCCCCTTCCCCCTCTTTTGAGCACCTTACCCTCTATGCACAGAACCTGGTATCCCTTTAGGATCTCAACCACTTCCTTGCCTGGACAATGGCACATACTAATTCACAGAGCACAGTGTCTGGTTTCTGAGAAATTCTTCTTGAATATCTGAAAGGGTTTTAACAGAACAGTCCAAGAGTGGGTCTCTGATGGCTATTTGGCGTTTCAACTCGACTGGGTCACAGGGCACCCAGACATTTGGCCAAATATTATCTTGAGTTTGTGTGAGGGTATTCCCGCTTGAGTTAACCTTTGAATCAGTACACAGAGCATTCCAGATTGCCCCTCCCAATGTGGCTAGGGCTCATCAAATCAATTGAAGGCCTGAACAGAACAAAAAGGCTGCATGAGAGGAAATCCTTTCTGCCTGACTGCTTTGCTGAACGTTGGCCTTTTCTGGCCTTCTAACTTGGACTGAAACATGTACTCTTCTCGGGTCTTGAACCTGGTGCTTTTCAGACTTGAACTTAACCATAGGCTCTCCTGGTTCTCAACCCTTCAGATTTGGACTGGAACTACACACCAGCTCTCAAGGTTCATCAGCTTGCTAACTTCAGACTGAAAGAGAACAAGAGGGAGAGACTCAGAGAAAGAGAAAACCAATAAGAGATATATATGTACACACACATGCACACACACACACACACACACACACACACACACACACACGATGATTCTGTTTCTCTGGAGAACACTCACTAAAATAGGTCCAGTCTTATGTAAGTCTTGTGGCCAGTGCGAGATGAATGTATGTTTCCTTATTGTTTTTTTCCTAGTAACTTTTGGTTTATTGTGCAAAGCATGACTGCAAACACTCATATACACACTCATTCTCATTTACATATACTCTCCAAATATCCTGTGAAACCATAGAAAAAAGAGAACCATTTTCCCATAGGTCACATAATTCAAAGGCATTAGCACAGTCCACAAATTGAGTACATATTTCATATTACCATGCAGAGTCATTTAAATTCTTTTCCTTATCCTTCTTTTCTACACTAATTTTTGAGGCCAGCCTGTGTAGTAAAAATAATTCTTATAGATTTTAAATTTTATTTGCAGTTAGTTTTCAAAAAAATGGATGCTATCAACAAGCCCCTGGTATATCAGCACCCTGTCCCTAACTCTGCATAAATAGAGTGGAAGCTTTGAAATTTAAAGATTTTTGTATTTTTTTTTCCTTTTGGACATCTAAATTGAATTCCCGGGCATTTGTGCTTTTTCTCCCAGAATACTCTGTATGTGGAAGAGGAGCAGTGCAATAAGGATTTGTTTTGCCCATTGCAGAGATAATTCTCACAGCTCCTGGCATCCCAGGGCTCCATGAGAGACGTCCCCTTACACTTAGGCTTGTGAATCTTATTCATGGGTGGATGCCACCTGGCATTACAAATGCCACGACTCCCTCATTATGATCCTGTAAGCACATTGAGAGCAGGGGTTTGGTGTGTTTTGTTCTTTGTCTTATGCCCCAGCTCTTAAATCACTGCCTGCATAGTTGGTTCTCAATATATAGGATCAAAAGCACTGGATTAATTCATGCTTCCAAAACACACTTTTTGGGGTATACTGGTGCCAGGAACTGTGAAAAAGAAAGCTAAGTGGAGTGTACAAGAGAGAATGCCAAGACAAATGTAGCAGACCTAAAGTCTAATGAGTTACAGACATAGAAGGAACATGCTAAGTGGTAGCCACAGGGAATGAAACAATAAAGAGGGGCATCTATGGCCCAGCATCGTTTTCTGTTTTAAGCTTATTGTATTTGAATGGCACATTGCATTGTCTTTCTCAGACCTTCCTCTGTTTACGCACAGTTAAGCAACAAGATAAAACATTTTATCTTATTTCCATTGAAAATGTTGAGTTCTAAAGTTTTTAACAAACAAAAGCATAAAAATTGAATTATAGAAGAAATAGATACCCCTGTAGCAGTATTATATTTATTTCAGAGTGATTTTTTTTAATGATAGATTTTTAAATGTAACCATACCAATTGTGTCATATTGTTATTAGCCTGCTTGGTATTCATCTGAAAATATTATTATTTTATTTTTCTTTTTAGGGACAGAGTCTTGCTCTTGTCACCCAGGCTGGAGTACAGTGGCACATCTTGGCTCACTGCCTCCGCCTCCCGGGTTCAAGCGATTCTCCTGTCTCAGCCTCTCGAGTAGCTGGGATTACAGGCACCCGCCACCATGCCTGGCTAATTTGTGTATTTTTAGTAGAGACGGGGTTTTGCCATGTTGGCCAGGCTGGTCTCCAACTCCTGACCTTGTGATTCACTCGCCTCGGCCTCCCAAAGTGCTGGGATTACAGGCATGAGCCACCGTGCCCAGTCAAATATTATTTTTTAATGGTCTGAAATGTCCGTTCAGCTATTTTGAGACATTTATTATAATGCTGGCTTACTCTCAGGTTCTGTAAAATCAGCTACTTAAACTACGTATTGTTAAAATGAAAAGACTTTAAATATAATAAACTGGATGACAGAAAAACACGGTAAATATTTTCCAAAGTTATATATTACATCCCAGGACTTACTAGTAAAATTAGAGTCATTGGAATTTACAATTTTACTTCTGATAAATATTAGTGAGTTCAAAAAGTCATTGAATGGGGAATTTGAGGGAAGTAAAGAATCAAAGATTAATTCCCACGTGAAATAAAACTTTAAAGACTTTAAGTATTCTGTATTTAAGTCAATATGGCTTCATCCTGTCAAATAGTGCAACAGTAACAAAAAGCAATTAATATTTACACAGCATCTCTATTGTGTCAAGCCACAGAATAAGACCTTGATTCCTAAAAAAAAATATATATATATATATATATGCTAATAACAAGTGATCAAATTTAAACTTTAAAATAAATTAATAAGGTGTTTACTCCTCAACTGCCTATTTAACAAATGAAGCTATAGTGAGAAGCTTATGGTGGTTAGGTAACTACACAAGGCCAGTAAATGTCAGAACTTGGGCTACAATTCGTTAGGTGTCAGCTTTATTATCCATGAAGTAATATTGCCTCTCACAGAGGGAAATAGGGAGAAAAAAGGAGGAAGGAGTAGAAAGAACAAGTGTAGAGTGAATGCATGGCTCTGAGGAATAGTTGTGGGTTCTCTCAGTTTAGACAGCAATTTATATGTAAGGCATGTATGTCTTCCTGCAGGCTTCAGCCGGAGTATCTTAGCTTTAAATTGGCTTCTACCTTTTGCTCACCAGCTTGGATGTTTGTGCAAATTTATAATGACTCTCTTTGCTGTCCCCCTCTTTGGTTTTGGACATTGATGTTTCACAAATTTCTCAACCACACGCCTCATTATAACACAGCAATCTCGGCACACTCTTACCTTCTTTTCCCGCCTTCCAGAACTTTGCCCCAGGACTCAGTTCCAGGACTTCCTGGGCACCTGAAATGAGAGTTCAAGGATGTTTTATCGTTAGAAAATTCATTGCCAAACATTCTTTTTAAAGCTCATCAAACAGATAATCAGCCTTAATTCTTGATTCTGTCAGATACATACACTAACAGCCAGACAAATAAAGGAAAACAAAGTTAAAAAAAAAAAAAAAAAAGAGGTAGTTATCAATGCATCAGAAGAGTGTGGAATAGCCTTTTTTTTCTAGGCTTATTATTCATTTTCACTTAAGTGTTACAGCTGTGAGTGAAGAGTAGCCAGCCTTTTTTAATCAATCAAAAATCTTTTTTGGTTCACTGTGCAAAAAGAAAGAGAGTTGGCACTGCCATTTTATTTTGTTTTTCACTTGTCCATCAATTCTTTTCAGACTCCTCGGGGTAAGTAAAATACAGATTTGTCAACCCTGTGGAGTATCCGATATGGGATTAAATTTACCTGCTGCTTTAAATTGCCTCAATCCAGGACATTTATGCAATCATTTCCCTTGATTATTGAATTATGTTCGCAATTTTCAACACTTAAAAGACAATATCCAAGAAGAATTTTATATGAAAAGAGAAACACATTGGTTTGTAACAAAGGGAAATTTTACTAGGTTTTTCTGTACTTCTCTAATGTTTCATTTCCAAAGATTTAGTTAGTGTAGAGTACATAGTATATTGCTATCAAGAGTTAATAGACAATATTCAGCAAACAAGCATACTGCCTTTATAAACAAGTATTTCTCTGAAGGAGTAGTTTGAAACACAGAGTTTCAGATCTCTGATGATAGAGAGAGTTGTGTTTTTGTTACAAAAGCATTAACTCAATAATTCCAGCATTTGTAGTATGGACTACATTATTATCCAACCTGGTTCTCTGGGACTCATTATGAATTTTTTGGGCCCAGCATTTTTGCATTTGTGTGATCTTTCTTCCAATAAATAGATACATTTCTAAAAATGAGTTGCATTATTATTTTGGTATAAAGATGAATGGAATCCAGTCTAATTGTGTTTCTTTATTTTTCTGATATTATTATTATTATTATTATTATTATTTTCAGAGAGTGAGTCTCACCCTGTTGCCCAGGCTGGAGTGCAATGGGGCAGTCATAGCTCACTGTAACCTCAAACTCCTGGGTTCAAGTGATTCTCCCACACCAGCCTTCTGAGTAGCTAGGACTACAGGTGTGTTTCACCATTCCTGGTTAATGTTTTAAAGATTTTTTTAAAAGTGGGGGAGTTTGCCGTGTTGCCCAGGCTGGTGTCGAACTCCTCCCCTCAAGTGATCCTCCTGCCTCAGCTTTCTAAAGTATGAAGATTACAGGGCCCCCATAACCAGCCCTGGTTTTACAGTAAATAAGAGCATTTGTTTGCACCCTTAATATAGCTACAGGCCCTAAAATGCTACAGCTGCAGGGCCTAAAAACATAAGTAAATTTTGTTGACTCTGCTGAAGTTCAAGGTGGGTGACTATACACATGGCATGATTTCAAGATCTGTTTCAGATTCAAATTTTCCAAAACCACATAACTTATTGCAGTTCTATGCTTCCTTGGTCATTGACCTAAGATGTTTACTTTTTACATTGTTCATTTGGTAAAAGATCTGTGGTTGCTATGGACTTTATGAAGACATATTTTATCCTGAGATGACAGAGGTTATCAAGATAAATTTGTTTTTGTTTATGGAGTTCTCAAAAGTTAATTTTTCAGATTATCTAAGTGGGATTGTGGTAGGAATAGGTTGTCTGATATCATAGGCTGGTATTAAAGGAGTTGTATAGAAGCTCTGAAAGACTAGAAATAGGGTGTACAGAGAGTTCGCCCATCTGGTTCCAAAACTTGCTCTATCCACAGACTTTCTTTACTAAGTTAATGCCAGCAATTTCATTCTAGGTGCACAGGAAAAAACCCTGAGATATCTTTGGTTCCCTATTTTTTCTCATGTCTTCTATTAAATCGCATTGTCTCTACTCTCAATAAAGATTCACTTCTCTCCACATCCCATTGCTATTACTCTTGTCTAAACAATTATCACCTGTCTGAAATATTGCAATAACCACAGTTGGTCTCTGTGTTTGTATCCTTGCCACTCTTGTAATCCTTCTATATTAGTCCACTTTCATACTATATAAAGAAGTGCTTGAGACTGGGTAATTTATAAAGGAAAGTGGTTTAACTAACTCACAGTCCAGCATGGCTGGAGAGGATTCAGGAAACTTACAAGCATGGCAGAAGGCAAAGGAGACACAAGGCACCTTCTTCCCAAGGTGGTAGGAAGGAGAAGTGCTGAGCAAAGTGAAAAGAGTCCCTTATAAAACCATCAGATCTCATGAGAACTCACTTATTACCATGAGAGGAGAGAAACTGTCCCCATGATCCAATTATCTTCATCTGGTCTTTCCTTTGACACATGGGGATTATGGGATTATAATTTAAAATGAGATTTGGGTGGAGTCACCAAGCCTAACCATACCATTCCACCCCTGGCCCTTCCAAAATCTCATCTACCTTTCACATTTCAAAACCAAGCATACTTTCCCAACAGTGTCCAAAGTCTTAACTCATTCCAGCATTAACCCAAAAGTCCAAGTTTAAAATCGCAACTTAGACAAGGCAAGTCCCTTCCACCTATGAGCCTGTAAAATCAAAAATAAATGAGATACTTCCCAGATACAATGGTAGTACAGGATCAAATAAATGTTCCCATTTCAAAGGAGATAAATTGGCCAGAACAAAGGGGCTGTAGGCTCCATTTTTGTCCAAAATCCAGTGGGACAATCAAACCTTAAAGCTCCAAAATGATCTCCTTTGACTCCATGTCTCACATCCAGGTCATACTGATGTAAGAGGTGGGTTCCTGTGGTTTTGGGTAGCACTGCACTGTGGCTTTGCAGGGTATAGCCCCATTCCCGGCTGCTTACATGGACTGCTATTGAGTGTCTGTAGCTTTTCCAGGGACACAGTGCAAACTGTCAAAGGATCTACCATTCTGGGGTCTGGAAGACAGTGGCCATCTTCTCACAGCTTCACTAGGTAATGCCCCAGTGGGGACTCCTTTTGGTGGCTCTGGCCCCACACTTCTCTTTCACACTGACAGAATCCTAGTAGAAGTTCTACACGAGGGCTCCACTCCTGCAGCAAACTTTTGCCCGAACATCCAGGCATTTCCATACAACCTCCAAAATCTTAATGAAGGTTCCCAAACCTCAATTCTTGACTTCTGTGCACTCTTAGGCCCAATATCACATGTAAGCTGCCAAGGCTTGGGGCTTGCATTCTCTGAAGCAATTGCCTGAGCTGTACATTGGCCCCTTTTAGCCAAGGCAGGGTTGCAGGTTAGCAAGTCCTGAGTGTACACAAAGCAGCAAGACCCTGGGCCAAGCCCAGAAAACCATTTTTCTCTCCTACACTTCAGGACCTGTGATGGGAAGGGCTGCTGTGAAGACCTCTGACATGCCCTGGAGACATATTCTCCATTGTCTTGGCAATTAACATTTCGTTCCTGGTTACTTATGCAAAATTTTGACTTGAATTTCTCCTCAGAAAATTGGTTTTTCTTTTCTATTACGTTGTCAGGCTACATATTTTTCAAATTTTTATGCTCTGCTTTTCCTTTTAAACGTAAGTTCCAAGTCCAAATCATTTCTTTGTGAATGCATAAAACTGAATGATTTTAAGGCACCCAAGTGACATCTTCAAGGCTTTGCTGCTTAGAAATTTCTTTCACGAGATACCCTAAGTCATCTCTATCAAGTGTAATGTCCCACAGATGTCTAGGGCAGTGGCAAAGTGCCACCAGTCTTTTTGTGAAAGCATAGCAAAAGTCACCTTTATTCCAGTTCCCAACAAGTTTCTCACTTCCATTCGAGAACAGCTCAGCTTGGACTTCATTGTCCTTATCACTATTGGCATTTTTGTCAAAGCCATTCAACAAGTCTCCAGGAAGTTCTGAACTTTATCACATGTTCCTGTGTCATTCTGAGCTCTCCAAACTGTTTCAATCTCTACCTGTTACCCAGTTCCAAATTTGCTGCCTCATTTTCGAGTGTCTTTATAGCATCACCCCACTCTCGGCAGTACTAATTTACTTTATTGGTCTGATTTCATATAACTATAAGAAAGTGCCTGAGACTGGTAAGTTATAAAAGAAGGAGGTTTAATTGACTCACAGTTCAGTATGGCTAGGGAGGCCTCAGCAAAATTACAATTGTGGCGGAAGGCGAAGGGGAAGCAAGACACTTCCTTCACAAGGTGGAAGGAAGAAGTACTGAGTGAAGGGGGAAGAACCCCTTACAAAACCGTCAGATCTTGTGAGAACTCGCTCACTATCACAAGAACAACATGGGGAAAACCACCTCCATGATCCAATTACCTCCACCTGGTCTCTCCCTTGACATGCGGGCATTATGGGGAATATAATTCAAAATGAGATTTGGGGTGGGGTCACAAATCCTAACCGATCACTTTCCAAACACAGGGGCCAAAACAATGCTGTTAAACCTATTATTAGATGTCATCCACCTGCTTCATACCCTTTGCTGCTCACTTCTTTTCTCACAGAGTAAAACCAAAGTCTTTGCTGGATTTACGCAGCTCTATATAATCTGGCTCCTCATTTCCTTCTTATGTCATCTCCTATTTCTCTCCTCCATAATGGCTACATGGTAGACCTATAAAGCTCCTGGAATCTACTGGGCACTCACTGCCTCAGGAACTCTGCACTGATACTCTCTCATATTCCCTTTTTGGTTGGTCCTTTCTCTCCTTTACTCCATACCATATTTCTGTCATTTTCTCCATGAGACTAACAGTGCCCACTGCTTCTAATCTCTACCATAGACTCTACCTTAACTCTCTTCCCAGATCTATTTTACCATATAATTTTAACCTTTCAATATAGCATTTTATTATCTATCATTTATTGATTACTATCTGTCTTCCCAGAGATAAAGATTATTTATTGTCCATTTTTGTCTCTGGTGTGCTTATAAACCCTAGGACAATT